CACCTACCCTCCCTTCCTTCCACTCCCTCTAAAAATCAATGGAAAAAAATGTCCTCAGGTGAGGATTAACAACAATAACAAAACAGTGCACAGAAACAACATAAAGAATAAAAAGAGGAATACATATTTCAACATTTTATGAAGAGTTAGTTGTAGTACTTAAACATTTGTTAGCTATAGTTTGGCAAATATCTTGCCATTTCAGTCTTAGATTATCTACCTAAAAAACAAATGATCTTACTTGTCCTACCTATGCCACAAGACCAATACAAAGACCAAAAGATCCATGAAAAAATACTCAAACATCCTGTTACAAATGCAAAGTGGTGAGGGAGACCAGGTTTGAATTAGGCTGGTAAGGGAAAACAGTGTACAAAAACAAGACTTTAAAAAATATAGAATATATAAAAAGATAAAAACTCATACTCACTGTGTCAGTTCAAGTGTGGCTTTTCTGGAGAACACCCACGCTACCTTTTCATCTTTATCTTTTGGGATGTCATTTTTATCCTCATAAGCCAAGAAATAGAGTGAAAATTTCATGGTGGGAAAATCTAATTTTTGGAGTAGCCTGAAATTAAACAACAATCCTGAATCAATTAACAACAGGAAAGGTTGATTCATACTAAAATCAACATAACAACATTCAAGTTCTACTAAGAATAACTCTGTAATAAGGCCATTTTCATAGGAAAAGCAAGGTAAGCCAATGAAAAATATCTCATTTAAAAAAATCTATTCAGCCCTGTGGCTCAGTTGGTTGGAGCATGCCCTGTGCACCAAAGGATTGCAGGTTCAATTCTCTGTCAGGGCGCATATCCAAGTTTCGGGTTCGATTCCTGGTTGGAGAATAAGGTAGCCAACTAATGTTTCTCTCTCACATTGATGTTTCTCTCTCTCTCTCTCTCTCTCTCTGTCTCTCTCTCAGATCAATAATAATTTTTTTTAAGTATTCTCCGGGTGAGGATTTAAATAAACAACATCCATTCATCTGTAAATATCAGTGAAATAAAAATTTAAAAATCAAACTTTTATAATTCATCACTTCTTCAAATATCAATTCTTCAAATGTAATGAAACTTAGCCAGAATTATGGTACTTGTTTATAAATGGCAAAAGATACCTTCAAAATAAAATTTTATTTTTACTGAAAAATACAATGTGTTACTTTAACTGTCCTTTCAGGTATATGACATTCAGGTAAAGAAAATAAGTGCATTGAAAGTATGATTGTCTAATCACTAACCTGGACATCTGAAACTAAATCAAAATGGCCCAGCCCATGTGGCTCAGTGGTTGAGCACTGACCTATGAACCAGGGGGTCAAAGTTCGTTTCCTGGTCGAGGCACATGCCCGGGTTGTGGGCTTGATCCCTGGTAGGAGGCATGCAGGAGGCAGCTGATCAATGATTCTTGTCATTAATGATTCTATCTCTCTCTCCCTCTTTTTATCCTCTCTGAAATCAATAAAAAAAAATTAAATAAACTATAATTGAAAAATAAAACTTAAATTAAAAATACTTTTAAAATAAATAAATAAATAAATGTACTGAGTTCTTACTGAGCCAAAACTCCTAGGGAAAAGACTGAGGATCTGTGGTAAGAAATAAGGAAGGACAGATTACAAACACAGAGGATGTGACTGTCAACAATTAAGTGGTTTACAGTATCAAATACTGCAGAAGGGTCGAACAGGACTGAGCCTGGGAACAGGACACCAGACACGGAGAGGTCCTGTGAGGCAGTCTCCGCAGCATGGGGAGCAGAAGCTGGACTGTCTGCACTGGGAGAGGACGGGAGGGGAGCATGTCGAACAGCAGCGTGATCCACCTTCATAGATGGTGGCTGACGATGGGAAGGAGGGCCAGACAGCAGAGGGCAAGAATTATCCTAGAACAGAGACGACTTAAGCTTTTTTGTAGGTTGAGGAAAAAGAGCCAGTGGAAAAGGAGAGACTGATGTGAGAGAAAGAGTAGACAAATTATTAATCCTGAGGTTTTAAAAAAGATCAGTGAAGTTATGATCTATAAAGTGAATTCAGAGTATAAAATTATTTTGCAAGGACGAGGGTAGTATGAGGATGCATATAATTTTCTTTAGATTAGGATTAAATGCTCCAAGATGACCTCATCTATAATAATACACGCATAATATGCTAATTAGTCTGGACAGCCAAACGACCTCCTGGACATCATTCTGGATGTCCTTCCAGACGAAACAGTAGCAGCGGGGGCCAAGGCAGAGGCGGTTAGGGGTGATCAGGCAGGCAGGCAGGCAGGTGAGTGGTTAGGAGCCAGCAGTCCTGGATTTCGAGAGGGATGTCCGACTGCCAGTTTAGGCCCGATCCGGATCAGCGGCATCAGGCCTAAACCAGCAGTCGGACATCCCTCGAGGGGTCCTGGATTGTGAGAGGGTGCAGGCCGGGCTGAGGGACCCTCCCTACCCCCATGCACGAATTGCATGCACTAGGCCTCTAGTTCATAATAAGAGGGAATGACTGAAGCATAACAAATGAAAAGTTTCTAGAGTTCTGTTGAAATCTTTTGACTATCACTGCTATGTAACATGCCCTGGCCAATAATATCTATGCACTGACTTACCACAAATAAGATTTACTCTATCTGTTTATAATAAAGAATCCCAACACCTCAAATACTGCAGTCATGAAACACTAAGCAGACTGCACAGCCTCGTAGACCCATCAGGTGGGAGATGCAGCACCTGGCCCTGCTGAAACTTGCTTTTCTCAGCTGTGCATATCTTTCAGGTCAAGGTCACACTCCCCCATTTGAGGGCTCTTAAAAACAAGGTCAGCCTTGGAGTTCATAGGAACTTGGCTTCAAATTCGGGGCTAGTTACTTAATGTTTAACCTCTGGTTCCTTCCTTCATATGTTAAAATGGAGACATAAGCTACCTTATAGGCCTACTCTGAAGATGGAATGAAATACTGTGTAAAATTCTTGCAAACAGCAAGTGTGCCATTAGTTTGGTTTCATTCTGTCCTTTAAATATGCCATGATACATGCAAAATACTTTTTCTGAAAAAAAATGACAAGAAATTGTTTACAGCAGTTATCTCTGGGGAGAAGAACTGGGAGAGGGAGGCTATGACTTTTCATTTCGTGTTTTTCTGAGTTGGTTGGATTTGTAAAACAGAGACATATACTGTATGAACCAAATTTTTCTCTCAATGTCAATGGAGGTTATCCAGGCAGTGAATGAAAGATCATTTTATTCTTTATCTTTATTATCAAAAACAAACAGAAAACCTCAAATCAAGAAAAGTAAGCTCTGGGAGCCCGCCCACACCTTTCCCGTCCCCTTCTTCTTTTCTTCTTCTCTCCAGGAGTTACCTTTGCTTTTCTCTCTCCTAAGCTCCAAGGGCCCTTCTTTTGCTTCTGAAACCTGTTTCCCGAGTGAACTCATTCATTTTCTAAGTAGCATGTCTCTATATGTATACCTCTTCTGAAGTAAACAAGAGGCTAAAGGCGGCTCTAACATCAAAAGGGTCTGGGCATAGTAAGGATTTAACTGACAGCTCTCGAAGAGAAGGGAATTAGAGAAAATACAAGTATTGGTGTCTCGCAGCCCACTGAGCTTGGCTGGGACAGAGGAACTTGACAGAAGTCCTGACAGCAGTCCCAGACAGCGGGCCAGAAGGGCTTTTGTGATTTATGAAGCAAACTTTAGTCCATTTTTTAAAATAGATTTGAAAGCATTGCCTATATTTGCAAAGCTGTGTATTTAAACATGACAGGCGCCAATACAGAGTTTACTTACGTCATTCCAAGAACTCTAGTGTAAAAATCCAGAGACTTCTTAGGATCCTTAATTCGCAGCATGGTCTGCTGCAACAGAAAATCCTGAGGAGAAACAGCACATATTAAACACCTTCCGGTTTTACCACTTGTACCACAGTCCACCACTGTAACCATGTTTAGGAAGAAAACAACTTTTTGTCCCCTCTGTCCACCATGGAAATCATCTGGAAAGTTTCCGTACCTACTATCTACAACCTGGGCTCTCTGCCCAAGGGTATTTTCTGGTCACAAGGGTAGGCAGGCCCCAAGTGCCAGGGAGATAACACCCCAGGAATGATCCTCAACCAATAATGGATAAAAACCCTGGCTTCCTTGCCCCTTAGTGGGACAATTCTCAGGCAGGTTCCAGTTTCTCAGAGGCTTCCCAGCAAGACCAAGCCTAAATACCCTCACTCTTACACACTTTTTATCACCTCTGTTTCCCACTCCAGAGATTTCTTAGACTACTTCCCAAATAAACTACTAAGAACCAAACCCCCTCTCTCCAGTCTGCTTGTGGGTGTCCCAAACTAAAGCAGTGACATTATAAATAAAGAACCCAATCGCTGTAAAATTTGTTAATGAGGAACACACAAGAACTATTTGTTGGTAATCACAGCAAGGAGTTACAAGATCCTAAACTCCTAAATAACTAAAAGCGTAAAATTACTGTCTCGATTATGTCTATCCTCTGAGATTTTGCTTCCCAGCAATTGTCAGTGTGGCTCAAGTAGTCACAAAAATTCTCTATAAGTTTTAATGTTTTTCAATGCTGACATTTACTTGGCATAGTGTAGTGATGGCGAACCTTTTGAGCACGGCGTGTCAGCATTTTGAAAAACCCTAACTTAACTCTGGTGCCATGTCACCTACAGAAATTTTTTTGATATTTGCAACCATAGTAAAACGAAGATTTATATTTTTGATATTTATTTTATATATTTAAGTGCCATTTAACAAAGAAAATTCAACCAAAAAAAAAAATGAGTTCGCATGTCACCTCTGACACGCGTGTCATAGGTTCGCCATCACTGGCATAGTGCATCAGGATTCCAAAGCTCACCCAGGACTACCCCTCGGACCTGGACCTGTGCTAGGATCCAACGAAGGGCCCATTGAGCCTGCCAGCTCCCTGCCCATTGGGTGAACTTGGAAATTTACTACTTTAGACTCCACCTCCCCAGAGGAAGCCCTTCTTCTGAACACATTTTATATCCCAATCAGCCCCCCGACATATGCTGCAAACTTCAAAAAATAGATACCGGTCCACAAATTCCTCAAAAAGACCTCCTTAACCTGACCTTTAAGGTTTTTAATAATAGAGACGAGGAGACGTAAATCCAAAAACAAAGGTGAGATCAGGCCAAGGCTGAGGCCCAGAAGGAGGCCTTCCAGCTCCTAGCCACCGCTCTTATGAACCCCAAACGAAGAGCCCGTCCTCCAACTGCAGGTAAGTCAGGGGCTAAGCCTCCTCCGGGCCCATGCTTCAAATGCAGACACTGAGTCAAGTCCTGCTCAAACCCGAGACCCCCGCTTGGGCCCTGCCCAAGGTGAGGAAGGGAAGGCCACTGGAAATCAGACTGTAGTCTGGCCCCTCCAGATCAGACCTCAGCCAGTCCAGCATGGCCGCCCTCTGGATCCGGTTTGGAGCTCCCAGACCTCCTGAGACTGGCCACTGAAGAAGCTGCCCCGGCCCTGACAGGGCCCCATAGACTCACATCACCAGGACAGTGCCTCGGGTAACAACTGTGGCTACAGGTAAGCCCATCTCCTTTTTAATTCACACTGGGGCCACTTATTCTGCCTTCTCCAAATTCTTTGGGACCCTTGTCCACTCCTCTGGATAAGTCTCACAGCCTTTAGCCACCGCACCTCTACACTACATCTTACTAAATACCCCCATTCACACTTTTCTTATTCTACCTAAGGGAGAGGGATAGAGAGTTAGAAACATCGATGAGAGAGAGACATCTATCAGCTGCCTCCTGCACATCTCCTACTGGGGATGTGCCCGCAACCCAGGTACATGCCCTTGACCGGAATCGAACCTGGGACCTTTCAGTCCGTAGGCCGATGCTCTATCCACTGAGCCAAACCGGTTTCGGCCTCACCCCTTTAATGCTCTGAAAAAAATGTCAATATAAGAAATGTTGGCTGTTTACCTTTTGGTTTTCATTGAAAAAGTAAGGTTTTTAAGAGTGAAGAATTCTAATACATTTTAAAGAAAAAAGAATATTAGAGTAGAAATACTTAATGGAAGGTCTGAGGCATGGTTATTCATTTTTGAAGGACATAGAAAGGTCTGAATGATAATTTGAAAGTGTGAAATTTGTGAAGGTTGTGTATGTGATGAGAAGGAAAAGAGAAATGTTGAAAGTTCTAAAGTTAACTAATTGCAAGAATTGTAAAAGGGCCATTTAACTCTGAGCAAGAAGGTGAGGTTTCAGAGAGGCGGAGTCGAGGGAGCCCAGACAAGGGGAAAAGAGGCGCCTGCAGGAGGTCTGGCAGCCTTGCCCACCCTTATCCCCAAACCCACAGCTGCGGCCAGCACCATGCCCGCCGAGGCTCCGAGCTGCCCCTGCCCCCGACACCGCCCACCGCGCAGCTGCAGTACCTGGGGCAGATGGAGCACATCCTCGCCCGCACCGGCACCCTGTCGGTGTTCGGCATGCAGGCGCGCTACAGCCTGAGACATGAGTTTCCTCTGCTGACAACCAAGCATGTGTTCTGGAAGGGTGTCCTGGGGCAGTTGCTGTGGTTTATCAAGGGATCCACAAATGCTAAAGAACTGTCGTCCAAGGGAGTAAGAATCTGGGACGCCAATGGATAGCCTGGGATTCTCCAGCATAAAAGAAGATTTAGGCCCCGTTTATGGCTTTCAGTGGAGGCATTTTGGGGCAGACTACAAAGATATGGATTCAGATTATTCCGATCAAGGAGCAGACCGACTGCAAAAGGTGATTGGCACAATCAAAACCAACCCTGACGACAGAAGAATCATCCTGTGTGCTTGGAATCCAAACGATCTTCCTTCAATGGCCCTGCCTCCATGCCATGCCCTCTGTCAGTTCTACGTGGTGAACGGTGACCTGTCCTGCCAGCTGTACCAGAGGTCAGCAGACATGGGGCTAGGTGTGCCCTTCAACATCGCCAGCTACACCCTGCTCACCTACATGGTCGCACACATCACCGGCCTGAAGCCAGGTGACTTCCTGCACACTTTGGGAGATGCACACATCTACTTGAATCACGTTGAGCCGCTGAAAATGCAGCTTCAACGAGAACCGAAGCCTTTCCCGAAGCTCAAAATCCTTTGAAAAGTTGAGACAATCGATGACTTCAAGACTGAAGACTTTCAGATTGAGGGGTACAATCCTCATCCGACTATTAAAGTGGAAACGGCCGTTTAAAGTGCTTTTAAAGGAGTTGTTTGAAGGATACTCCCTTTAGGGGTTGGAATGGATGCTTAGGTGAAAATTCTTTTTTGTTCTAAAGAAAGAAGGAAGTAGGTCAAAAATCAGTTGGTAACTGTCAGTTATTACTCATCAACTTAAGACTGTTACCACTGGCAAATATAGCTGTATTGACTCTCTTAGTAATAAAAGGCCTTAACTGAATGAGGATGTATGAAAATACTGAGATGATGAATAAAGTGAAGAGAGTAAAAACGTATATACTTTAAAAATATGTACATGCATTTCACTCCCACATTTGTATGGTTAATGATTTTAAGAATTGTAGGTTATTCCCTCACATTTGAGCAAGCTGAATAACAACACCAGTTATGATAATCTATGGTTGGTGTGGTTATGAATATTTAAAGTTGTTTGTTTTATATATTGTTATAATAAAGAAGAGTTCTGAAACTAAGATGGTGGCATAGGTAAATACCGGGAAATTGCTGCCTCCCACAACAACTTCAAAAATACAACGAAAAGACAAAATGGACATCATCCAGAACTACAGGAAGGCTGGCTGAGTGGAAATTCTACAACTAGAAGGAAAGAAAAGTACACTGAGAGCCAGAGGAGCTGCGGAAGTAAAGTGCAGAGGTATGGAGGCTCGAGCGCGCGCAGAAAGGGGCTGGCACCTGAGGACTCGGCTGTCTTTTTGAATCGGGACAGAGTCACAAGCTCCTGACTGCTCTGAACTCCGGTTCTGGGAAGTCTATGGGGACCCAGGACTCATAGGGGAGAAACTGGACTGTCTGGCAGCAGGCAGAACTCTGAACTTGAGGGCGGCTTTCCCTCAGAGGTGCTTGCAGCAATTATCGGGACACTGAGACGCGCGGTCCCTTAGGGCAGGGCTGAGAATCCGCCATAGCTGCTTGCTCCGCCCTTTGATTCCCTGAGACCCCGCCCCACCCAGGCTGTGGCAGAGGCTTTTCCATATGAATGCCTCGGCCCTTTGCAACCTGAAAATTACTGAAAAAACTGCAGCTGGGCCAGACAGACCCAGAACTTCCAAGAGAAGGCCCAATGCCCCACAGTGGCTTGCATTGGTTCACAGGTTG